CTGAGATGATTCTGAAATTCAGGTGGTATGAAATCAAAGTCATATTTTGGCTCCTGTGGATTTGGTTTAATTTTCCTCAGCTTCAGCTTGAACTTGCATACTCATATGCCATCAAATATAGAGCTATTTAATATACCTTCTTTATTTAAGATACCAAATGCTTCTCAGAGAAATGCAATGTAAATACTGTGCTGAACATATTTTATTAAGAATAAAAAACAATGATTGAATTTTTGTTCTAAAAAAACCAAATGAATAGAGAAACTGTGATATACTCACACAATGGATTATGATGCAGCTGAACTACAAGGAACTCATAAAATATTATCCAAAATGAGTGACTCTGGAGGACATTGTGCTGAGTGAAATATCTCCACAACAAAAACACTGCATAATGCCACTCTTATAAAATAGGACTGATATAGGGGTTGGGGGAAACAAAGAAAAATAAATGATGAGTACTGCATTGAAACAGATGAGGAAAGAACTGTTTATAAAATGAGTATTGATTAGGTCTTATTTGCATGGCAAGAGTCCAGAATAAGAGGTGCATAGCAAATTGGACTAGGGAGTAGGGGGTGGGGGAAAGGAGAAAATTGTGCAGCAATGAAAGAATCTTTTTAAGAGAAAAGCAAACTGGGGTAAGGGAAAGTAGGGAGGAAAATGTGCAACAATGAGTGAATGGAAATCTAAATTTTCTGTAAACTTTCATTAAAATGTTAATAATTTTTAAAAATTAAATTAAAAAAGAAAGTTACTCCAATCCTCACTTTTATATGTTTATGGTTCCATAACCATAAAATATATTCTGCTCTCTTTGACCAGTACATTTTATATATCTATAACCTACCCAGGAATTGATGGTATACTAATTGACATATTTCAACTAACAGATGCTGCCATAGATGTGCTCACCAAGTTGTGCCAAGAAATCTGGAGAACAAGCACTTGGTCAACTGACTGGAGGAAATCTATATTTGTTCTCATTCCAAAGAAAGATGATCCCACAGAGTATGGAAACTATCGAACAATATCATTAATATCACATGCAAGTAAGATTCTGTTGAAGATTATCCAAAAACAACTGGAAGAGCACATCAACAGAGAACTACCAGAAAGTGCAGGCTGGGTTTAGTTGGGGCTGTAGTATTGGGGATATTGCAGCTAATGTTAGATGGATCTTGGCTGAAAGCAAGGAGTACCAGAAGAATATCTATCTTTGTTTCATTGATTATGTAAAGGCATTTGACTGTGTGGATCATAACAAACTGTGGCTAACTCTGAGAAGAATGGGAATCCCAGAACACTTGATTGTGCTAGTGTGCAACCTATACTTGAACCAGGAGGTAGTCATCAGAACAGAGCAAGAAAACACTACATGGTTCAAAATTGGGAAGGGTGTACGCCAGGGTTGTATCCTGTCTCCATACCTTTTCAATCTTTATGCAGAACAGGTTATCTGGGAGGTTGGGCTCTATGAGGAGAAATGTTGCATCAGGATTGGAGGAAGAATCATTAGCAATCTGCATTATGCAAATGACACGACCTTACTTGCTGAAACTGAAGAGGATCTGAAGCACTTGCTGTGGAAGGTCAGGGAATGCAGTCTTCAGGATGGATTGAGATTCAATATCAAGAAAACAAAGATTCTCACCACTGGGCCAATTGGCAGCATCATAATGAACAGATTGAGATTGTTCACAGTTTTTATTTGCTTGGATCCACAGTCAACACTCTTGGCACCAGTAGCCAGGAAATTAAAAGATGTGTTTTGATGGGAAAGTCTGTGCTTAGAGACCTATCTAAAGTGCTGAAATGCAAAGATGTCAGTCTGGAGACTAAGGTGTGCCTGATACATGCCATGGTCTTTGCAATTACTTGCTATGCATGGGAGAGCTGGACAATGACTAGGGATAATGGAAGGAGAATTGATGCCTTTGAAATGTGGTATTGGAGAAGAGTACTGAATATAACATGGACTACTAGGGAAACAAACAGGTTTGTCCTGGAGAGGGTAAAGCCGGGCTGTTCCTTGGAGGCAAGGATTCTGAAGCTTCATCTGGCATAATCTGGACATATTACAAGGAAGGACCAGTCCTTGGAGAGGGATGTCATGCTTGGGAGGGTGGATGGACAGCACAGGAGAGGAACACCCTCGATGAGATGGATTGATTCGGTGACTGGGTTAATGGGGCAGGTGTGTCGGAGATGGTGAGATTGGCACAGGATAGGGCAGAGTTTAGGGCTGTTGTACATAAGGTCACTATGAGTCGCAGGCAACTCGATGGCACATAACAACACAAATTAGAATTAAATTTTGAAATAGTGATCTTGACATCAAATTTTTTGCATTAATTTTTAGTTAAACTATTAATACTTTTGTTCTCTTATAGCATTTACTTGCTATTCTTATGTAATGTTTGATCTGTCAATAGTGCAAAGAAATGACTCTGAATGTATAAAATAACGTACAAGTCAATTGGAACAGATCTTTTCCACAGATAAGGTAAACTATACATCACTAACAGAAACATTAAGAAAGAAGATTTTTAAATCCAGATGCAAAGAATTTGTACTTACCCGTGATGGATGCCTTGTGGAATATTTAAAAAAATTTTCTAAGACAGCATTCGGTGTAATATTTCTGCGAACTGCATTTGTAATCCCAAATGTTTTTGCTAGAGGTGTGGCAATAAACCTACAAAAATATGAAAGTACACCCAAAATCTTAAAATGTGCCCATAAATACATCAGAAACCTGGAACTATACCTTTATATTATAAATGAAAGCTAAAAAATAATAAAATGAAAGCTCATTTATTTATGTAGTCCCTGGGGCTATCTCCAATCAACTTTTAACTCATAAAAGTTCAAGGGAGCTCTGGTGGTGTAATTCATAAAGAGTTGCATTGCTAGCTTAAAGGCAATAACTCTTTGGCAGTTAAAATGTATCATCCGTTCCAAAGCTGAAAGATGAGCGTGGTAGTTAGGTGCCATTGAGTCAAGTATGACCCATAGCAACCCTATGAACAACAGATCTGAACCCTGTCCATTTTCCCACTTCCTGACTCAGATACATCAATTCATCTTCTGTTATATCTTTATTCATTGTCTAGCTCTCAAATGCATAGAAAGTTATTAGAAAGACAATGTCCAGAACCAGGAATACTTTACACCACAAATTGACTACATTGCTGCTCAATCATTTGGAGAGATTCCTAATTGCAGACTTTCCCAGTGCAATACATCTGATTTCCTGACTGCTGCTATTAAGGATGTTAATTGTGGATACACGTAAGGTGAAATACAGATTGGATGGATATGGAGAGAGGATACAACCTTGATACACTTGTCAAACCATTTAGTGTTCCCTTTCTTCAGCTTCATGGGCAAGGTATAGGTTTGTCATGAGCACAACTAAGTGTTCTGGGATTCCAATTCTTCTCAATGTTAGTCATAACTTGTTACACAAATGCCTTTGCATAGTCAATAAAACATAAATAAATATTGTTCTAGTATTCATTACTTTCAACTTGGATCGATCTGATATCAGCAATGATATCCCTGGAATCATGGCCTCTTCTAAATCATCATTTGACTTCTGGAAATTCCCTACACTTAAAGTACTGTTTAAGTGGTTTTGAATGGTCCTCAGCACTATTTTACTTGTATGTAATACTAGTGATCTTATTTGATAGTTTCCACATTCTGTTGGACCATTTTTTGGAAAGGGAAAAATACATGGATCTCTTCCAATCATGCTCTACAGAGAAATTTTCCCTGTATCACAAGGATGTCCACTGTCTCCACTTTTATGCAATATTGTATTGGAAGTACATGTTAGGGCAATATGACAAAAGAAGGAAATAAAAGGCATCCGATTGGCAAAGAGATGGTTAAACTGTCCGTCTATGCAGATGATATGATAGTGCACACAGAAAATCCCAAGATTTAACAACAACAAAACTGTTAAACTTAGTAGATCAATTTAGTAGAGTGGCAGGATACAAGATTAATAGAAAAAAAAACTCAGTGTTCTTCCTCTATAGTAATGCAGAGAAGGAAATAAAAAAGCAATACCATTTATGATAGCCAACCACAAATTGAGTACTTGGGAGTGGATGTAACTAGAGCCATAAAAGACCTATACAAAGGAAACTACAGAACATTTTTTGAAAGACACAATAAAAGACCTAAAGAAATGGGGAATGTTTCTTGTTCATGAATGAGAAGACTCAATACTGTGAAAATGACAATTCTACCAAAAGCAATCTACATGTTCAACGGAATCCCAATAGATAGCAAATTCCTTTTTCAAGGATATCTAAGGGAAATAGTCAAGTTTATTTAGAGAGGAAAGAGACTCCGAATAAGCAAATCACTTCTGAAAAACAAATATGAAGTGGGAAGCATAGCATTCCCTGATATCAAAACCTACTACACAGAGGTAGTAACCAAAACAGCATGATACTGGTACAATGACACATAGACCAGTGGAACAGAATTGAAAACCCAGAAAGGATCCATCTATCTACAGTCAACTGATATTCGACAAAGAAATAAAAGCTATCAAATGGGGAAATGACAAACTCTTCAACAAATGGTGCTGGCAGAATTGAACAGCTACTTGCAAAAAGTCAAAACAGGATCCATATCTCACACTATAAAATCACCCAAAAATCAACTCAAGGTGGATCAGAATAAAGCCTCAAACCATAACAAACTGGGACCAAGCTTGGAAGGCCTAGCCTATAAAAAGACTGCCAAATATAGCCAGTAACTCACAGTCTGAAGAGGACTGGGAAAAAACATTTGGAAATACCATTTTAGAGAAGGGTCTTTTATCAAAAGTCATGGAAAAACTTTTCACAAAGGAAGATATTTGGATGGAAAACAAACACATGGAGAAATGATCTAAATCAATGGCAATTAGAGAGATGCAAATCAAAACCACAATGTGATATCATTTTATCCCAGTAACAGTGGCAAAGTTTAACAGGACAGCGAGCAATAAATGGTGGAGAGGATGTGGATATTAGGAACTTTTATATAATGATGCTGGGATTGTGAAATGGTGCAACCTATCTGGAAGGCAGTTTGGCATTTCCTCAGAAAGCTGAACATAGAAATTCCATATGACTCAGCTATCCCACTGCTTGGCATATTGTTGTTGTTGTTGTTGTTGTTGTTATGTGCCGTCAAGTCATTTGCGACTCATAGTGACCCTATGTACAACAGCCCTAAACCCTGCTCTATCCTGTGCCAATCTCATTGCCTCTGACACACCCATCCCGATTACCCCAGTCACTGAATCAATCCACCTCATAGAGGGTCTTCCCCTCCTGCGCTGTCCCTCTACTCTACCCAGCATGATGTCCCTCTCTAAAGACCTGTCTCTCCTTACAACATGTCCAAAGTATGTCAGACGAAGCCCCAGAATCCTTGCCTCCAAGGAGCAGCCTGGTTTAACCCTCTCTAGGATGAGTCTGTTTGTTTTCTTGGCAGTCCATGGTATATTCAATACTCTTCTCCAGCACCACAGCTCAAAGGCGTCAATTCTCCTTCTATCCTCCCTAGTCATTGCCAAACTCTCTGATGCATAACAAGTGGTTGCAAAAACCATGGCCTGTATCAGGCGCACCTTAGCCAAGGATTTTAGAACTGAGACACAAATGGAAATTTGTCCACTAAAGTTCATAGCAGCATTATTCACTATCACAAGAAAATGGACAAGCCCAAATGGATTGTGAAATTGTGGTACATTCACAATGGAATACTATGCAACATTCAGGACCAACAAAAAGGATCAATAGTCAGAAAACATGGACTTGGTGACAAAATGAGACTGGAGACAGAATAATAGAAGTCTATACAATAAATGACCTATTCATTGCAAATTCTTTTTTATAAGAAGCATAAACAAAGACTATACACATGGATTTCACTTGATGATATGCATAGGAATCAGAATGACTACATCTGTTGGAAGAATCACTGGGGAAGCTCAATATCAGTTGTGAAAACTTGGCAGGTTGTGATTGTGGAACAGACCACCAACTATTCATATGCAAGTTCAAGTTGAAGCTAAGGGAGGTTAAATCAAATCCACACGAACAAAAATTCAACCTTAATTCCATTCTACTTGAATTTTAAAACCATACCAGGAACAGATTTGAGACCTTGAACACTAAGGAGTGAAGACCACGGGAATTGTGGGATGATATAAAGAATAGAGGAGGAAGACAAGATGGGTGTCAGATTAGCCTCTGAGTATTGCATTAAAAGCGTCGAGAATCCAAAGCAAAGAGAACAAATCAAGTGGTTATGGACATAAACAGAAAATTTCAACGGGCAGCACAGGAAGACAAAGCTAAGTATTATAACGAAATGTGAAAAGAGCTGGAGTCAGAAAATCAAAAGGGGCCACTCAGCATTTCTTAAGCTGAAGGAACAGAAGAACAAATTTAAGCCTTGAGTTTTAATACTCAAGGATGGGCAAAACATTAAAAGACGAATTGCACTGGGAAAGTCTGCTGTCAGGGACTTCTTCAGAGTACCAAACAGCAATGAGGTCAGTCTGGAGAGTAAGGGGTGTCTGATCCAGGCCATGGATTCACAATTATGTGTAATGCATCAGAAAGCTGGAAAATAATTAGGGATGATAGAGGAAAATTAATGCCTTTGAGCTGTGGTCTGGAGAAGAGTATTGAATATACCATAGACTGCTAGAAAAACAAACATAATCATCCTGGAGGGGGTGAAACCAGGCTGCTCCTTGGAAGCAAGAATTCACAAGCTCTGTATGACATACTTTTGGAATGTTGCAAGGAGGAACCAGTCCTTGAAGAAAGACATCATACTTGGGAAGGTGAAGGGACAGCACAAGAGCAGAAGAACCTAGATGAGATGGATTGCCTCAGTGACTTGGGGAAAGGGGCTGGGTGTGTCAGAGACAATAAGTTTGGCTCAGAATAGAGCAGGGTTCAGAGCTGTTGTACATAGGTTCAGTGTGAGTTAGGGCAACATGACAGCACATAACAACAACAGAATAACTTGGGAGAAACTTGAGAACCTTATGCTGAGTGAACTAATTCAGTCTCATAAGGGCAAATGCTGCATAAGACCATTATTGTAAAAACACAAGGATAACTAGTAAAACATGTACGGGTGGTCAAGGGGGAAAGGGTTGCAAGCAGAGGGATGAGGATGAGTAAGGGTTAAACAGAAGTGTTACTCAGTTTGGTAAGTGTAAGGAAGGAGAAAAGAAAATGGGGATGGGAAGGATCTGGGTGAAAAAACAAGGATTGATGGGCAAGGTCCAAAGGTGATTAATTTTGTAAAACAGAATGCATGAAAATATTTGTATGAAACAGAATATGAAAGACAAAAGGTGTGAAACACAATATATATGAACTTTGCAAGCAAACCAATTGAAAAAAAAGAGCTGAAAGAAAATTTCAAAGGGCAGCTCTGAAAGACAATAAATTAAAATTCTATATTATAATGAAATATGCAGAGAGCTAGAATTGGATAATAGAAAGGGAAGAACTCACTCTTCATTTCTCAAGCTAAAAGAATTTAAAGACAAATTTAAGCTTCGAGTCACACTATTGAAAGATGCTATAGACAATATGTTGAATGATCCAGGAAATATCAAAAAAAGATGGAGGGAATACACAGAGTTACTGTACCAAAAAG